TATTAGTTTATTGTTATATTATATTGTAATTAGTAAATACTTTCAATTATTATATATTATAATTAATAAATCAGATCATATATATTGTATATTTTAATTGTTCTAAAATATATTGAAGACGTTTAAAATTAAAATATAAACCTATTTAAAAGATTTTATTTTTAAGTAGATTTTTTAAATAGATTTATAAATTAGGCTAAGTTTTAAGTAAGTTCAAATTTAAATCATAAAAAAAATTTATATAAATTTTGAACTAAACTCAAGTCTTTAATTTATTATATAAATTCAGATTTATTTGATCAACGTTTAGCTTGATCCAGACTATTTTTACCTTTGGTGAAAAGGGATGGAGAACGAAATAACTTGTTAATTCCCTTGACCCATTGGTTTTGTGCCCCGGTTAGCGACCCTGCCTGTGCGCGTCTCTCCCAATCTTTGCCAAACCGGTAAACCCTCTCCTCTCGATCTCTTCCCAATGGCCGCCTCGTCGTCGTCCCTGTCTTCTTCGTCTTTTTCCGCCTCCAGCGATTCCTCTTCTCACCGCCGTAGACGTCGTCAACGCAGTCGCCGGGACCGAGATAAAGAAGCCCTAAAGGTCCGAAAGAAGAGTAAATCCCACTCCAAGCGACGTCGTAGGCACCACCGCTCTTCTGATTCATATTATTCATCTTCCATGTCCGACTGCTCCAGGTTGGTGTTTAAATATTGGCTGCCTTGCCTTGCCCGCCCTTCCCAATTGATCTTTGTAGAAGATTAGCTAAAGTCTAGTCCATAGCTGATTGATTTCCCGTTCTGACGATAGAGCCTATTGATAAATAAGGTGTATATCTTATGGTTGCTTTTTCAAGTTCCATTCTATTAGTGTGGCCAGGTTTGGAAATATCTTGAAACATTCGATGTACTTACGATTTCACAATACTGGTGGTGACAAAATAGTTTGGATTTATATTTTGGGAAATAACTACTGAGTGGAACTTATCTCTATTTTGAGTGGTGAAATGCATGACCAGCGAATTTCAGCTTTCTTCACGAAACGCCCAGTTGGAGGAGGTTCGAGTACCAGTCTTGGAGTGGCTGGTTCTGGTGTTGAACTAACTTATGATGTTTTAATTATATTTAATTGATTAATTCTTAGTTTATCAAATTATTAGTTAGTGGTTCAATACCGGCTGCAGAGAATTTATGGGATAGGACTACGTTCTTGGAAAGAATATTTCTTGAAAATGCATAACGCATATTGTTGCTGGATGGGGTGGTGGCTGGGTGGCATTTTGAGGCATGTCTATTATTTTTTGGGCATTTTCATCGTCTCTGATAATATGGTCACTGCTTCCCAAATACTGTCTCTTATCGAATGTTTGAGCTAGCATGAGCGTTTACTATTTGCCTTATGCTGCTTGTCCTATTGATTCTGCTTCATATATAGATTCAAAATCAATTTTCTGACAATATAAGATTCAATTTTCCATGGGTGAATGCTTTACAGTTTGATTATATGCAGTTTTACGTCATTGATATTTAGAATTTCTGACAATATTTTGTATTTTTCATATTAGATGAGAAACTTCATTAATTTGGTTTATGCTGCCTTTTGGCTTATTTTTAATTTTCTATAGAAGTGAAAGTTCATCTGGCAGCGAGCATGATTCATCTTATCATTCAAAGAGGCACAAAAAGAATGACAGACCAAAGAAGGTGATTTGTTGTTGACTTGTTATTACAATTACAATTTTTCCCTGTCTAAAGTTTTGTTGTTCTTTAATTTAATATTTTCCCCTTGTAGAATAAGGAAAAAGATCGAAGTAAAAGCCATAGGCATAAGAGGAAGAAGCATAAAGTGAAAGAGGTAAGTGACTTTTCACACGTTGTTTTATTTTCATCTTTAGGCCTGTTTACTACATAGTTTGACGTCTTTCATTTCATCCTTTGCCTGTTTACTGCCTTTTACTTCAACTAAACTGACAGGATACTTACTATGTTAGACTCCTCTTATTTTACATCTAGTGTTTTTACCAACTCTGCTGAATTCAACCTGCACAGTTGCTGTTGCTTGAGGATTGATACGGGGATCCTTAACACAAATTAACCAGGATTATTTAAGTTGAACTATTAATCAATGCATTTTTAATCTAGCCTCTAAATTTACTCATAACAAAATATCCTACCTTAGAAATAGCAGAAAATAGAGCATTCATTTTACTACAAACTTGCGTGTCATAATAACGTTAATTCATTAAATGTGAACATTGCTGGCCAAATAAATAAATGCGTACATTTTGTGATTCTGACTGAGATGCTAATGATACTTTCTGCCTTCCTTTTGGATTGGCTCTTTGAAATTGGAGCTGGGCTCTGTGACACGTTGTTGGGCACTTCGTTGACTTGGATCGGATATTGTTTCTTGGTCGGGTTTGTCATGGCATGGGAGCCTAATATAGAAGCAGCAAGATGAGAGATGCAGCAGTCCTGTGCAGCTTTCCAAGGTTCTAATTGCAATTCTGATTCAGGAGTACGATACTCTTGCAAGCTTGCCATTGATGAGTTGACTAACTCTTCTTATGTTACAGTTTTTGGGGCGAGATAAAGATGATGGTGTCCGGCGCAGTGCTGTATCTGGCAAGAAGGTTAATAGAAAGCTGTTAGCCTGTTACAATTTTCATGAATGGCCTTGTTTAGTTTTGTCTTTCAGAGGCATTTATTTATCTGGAATCTGCTTTTTCTTCGCAGATTCTTCTGAAACTTGAAAAAACGAAGGAAGATAAGTTGGCGGAAAGCAAGAGAAATGAGCTGCTTAATTTCTTAAATGCTAGTTTTGATTAGTAACGAGAGCGGAGGATTTGCTTTGGGGATTGGATAAAAGCCAGTGAGGAACCAGGCTTACTTGGGTGCGTAAATCTTTTTAGTTTTCACGTATAAAACCAAACAAGTTACCATGGTACGACATCGTATACTTACGGTTCTTTTTTAACTTCGATGGATGGTTGATTTCTGAGGGGCCTGGGCCAAATGACAAATGGAAAGAGTCAAGCTTGGTTCCTGTGTTGTATGAAATTGTGGTTTCGATTGGAAGACTGGTTTTTAATTTGTTGAGCACTTGTGATCATTAAATTGTCCGATAGTTACTATTCTGACTGGGAATTTTCCTCACGAGCTGTCTTCAGATCGGCCTTCTCACTCACGGTGAGTAGACTGGGATAATACATGGTTACATATTTTTTTTGGGTTCATTATATATAGGAGTTTATATGTGTGTGTATATATATAGTAAGGAGTTTATATGTATGCAAAAGGAAAAAGTTATATATGTAGTTTTTTATATTTAAAATGTTTGTTTTTAATTAAATCAAGATATGGAGATTTTTTATAGATTATTTATTTTATAATATTTTTGTTATTAATATTATAAACACATTACAATTCACGTGTTTTGATTTGATTAGATAAAATATATTGACTAATATATAAGTTTGTCTGTATATAAATATAGTATTTTGTATCATATTGCAGTGTTTTTTGTCACTATTGTGAATCAAAAATTTTGGTTCATCCATATATTTAAGTGGAAAATTTACAATAAAATCTTTACAAATTCTATAAATAATAATTTAATATCTCAAGGTGTTATAATTTTATTAAAGTTTAGGGATTTTTGTGTGAATAAATTTTAATATGAAAATATTATTTTACTCTTATCAAAAATAACAAGTCTCAATCATAATTTTTATTAAAAAATAATCACCTTTATTTTATAAATTGTAGAGCTGAATAAAAAATTATAATTTATTAAGTGCAATTCTTATTACTGAAAAATAAGTTATCAAAATATTAAGTCTCAATTATAACTCTTGCTTAAGAAATAGTAACTTTTATTCTGTAAATTATAAGAGTTGAAAAAAAATTATAATTTATTGAGTGTAATTTTTATTATTGAAAAATAAATTTTTCAAATGAAAAGTTTTAATTACAATTGTTATTTAAGGAATAATATTTTTTATTCATAAAATCACAAGCATTGAATGAGAAACTATAATTTATTAAGTAAAATAATTTTTTAATTTAAATTTATTGGCATAGAAATATAGAAATATTTATAGAATTATGACATTTTGAATGATTAAGTTATCATTTATATAATTAAAGATAATTTTATTATCATTTTTTTTATTTAAATCTTAAAAGAAACGTGCAAATAATTGTGATTTATGAGTAAATATTAGCTTCTGAATATATAATTCAATATTTTTCAGTGATTTGTTTTGGCCTTTCTATGCTGTTATTGTGAGTAAGAAGATAATAACTGAAATTTGTGCTCTTTCCACATGAAATGATCACCCATTAGAGGCCTTTTTTTTAGGTTTTGAACGTTGCTTTAAATTTCAACAGAACCTTTTGTCATGTAATGTATGAAATAAATATGAAAAACTTTTAATCGAGGAATATAGGGCCTGTTTAGATACATTTTGAAAATCAATTCTAACTTCAAAATTATGGTTTTAAAATTTTTTATCCAAATACCCACATTTTTCAAAACCTCATTCGGCTTCCCATACTTCATTTTGAAGGAGTTGGCAAGGTTTTAAAAACCGGACCGGTCATCGAATCGGTCAAGGTAGTGGTTCACGGTTCAATGGTCGGACCGGGATCGAACTGTAGTTGAACCGGTCAATAATAAATTAATGTATTTTGAATAATATATATTTAAAAATTATTAATTAAATACCTATATAAGCATAAAAACATCATTTAAAATTAAAAGATCACAAATATTAATATCAAATTCATAATTTAATAGCCAAATCTATAATATAACAATCCAATATCAAAGGAAAAATCATACAACATCCTTGCATATAAGTTTAATCCACATTATAATAGCCAAATCCATAAATATAACAATCTAACATCAAAGGGAAAATCATCCAACATCTTTGCACAAAAGTCTAATCCGTAATTATTACATTCTTCCTAAGTCTTAAGTGAAACCCATCAAACCAAGAAAATCAGTCATCACCATAAAACTCATTCAAGTTAAGTTCTTTAGTTGCTAAGTCATTAGCAACTATAGTAGGAAGAAAATTTGAGATAGCAACTTCAGGAGTAGATTGAACTCCAACTCCAGTAGGTGTAGATTGACCTCTAACTCCAACAGGTGTAGATTGAGCTTTAAATCCAACCTCATCAAATAAAGGTGGAGAAGATGTAGCATTCATATATTCATCACCTATTATAAATAAGAGAAATCAATCTTAAGTTCTTAACTATCATTTCTCTCAAAAATAATTATAGGATAATAACATATCAAATAACCTTCATCATCCCTAATAGCAGTAACAAGTTATGGATTATCTCCATGTAGCAGAGCATCACAATCTGCTTCATTAAACTCGGGAGCAGGTTCTTCTTCAGCTATCCAAAAGTCAAGTCTATCAATAGATGCATAATCAATAGGATCATAATTTTTCTTCTTCAACTCTGACCTATTAAGTAAACAAGGAAGATGTTAGATATTATTTAATTTTCAACTAAACATAAATTAAAACTAGATCATTTAGATAACTACCTATGCTGCAACCGCAAGTTGTAATTAGTGAAAACTAGATCATTTAAGCATTGATGGTCTAATCTATTTCTTCTTTTTGTGTGAATACGTTCGAACAAGCTCCAATTACGCTCACATCCTGAAGATGATGAAGTTTGGCTAAGCACACGGATTGCAACTTGTTGCAATTGTGGAGCATCACCTCCAACAAATGACCACCATTCATCTGCAACAAAAATGTAGCTTTTTTACTTATCATTTCAAATTATAATTAATAATTAAAAGTAATAAAAGTATACAACTTACAAGGTGATAATTTTTTTGCTGCTAAACCCAAGTGATCTCGAGTAAAAGAACCATCACGATTTTTGTACAAACTCAATTGCTCCCACAACTGGACATAATCATCAGAGCCATACACCCTAAGCAAATCAAGTATAGCATCTGTGAGCTTTCTTTTGAGATGAAAAGAAGGGTCATACATGAATGCCGGATTCAAAAAATATGCTGCTGCATGAAGACTAGTCTTCAAGTGCTTATCCCATCGAGCTTTAAGAATGTCTATGTAAGGCTTATATTTATGAGGATTGTTGTTACAGAAACTCTTGATTCCATGTTTTGCCCTTATCATGCCTTCATAGACATAGCCAAGAGAAGGCTTTTCATCTCCATCAACAATTCTTAACAATCGAATGAGGGGACCAACAAGCGCCACAATGTCATAACACTCATTCCAAAATCTATTGTCCAAGACAATGTTAGCAAAATTCTGTCCTGCTACTGTCTTTGACAACTTGTGATCAACAAAATGTCTATCAACCACCAAAGCTTGCAAGTCATTCTTGTGCTTATGGATGCTTTGTAAAGTAATAAAGGTGGTAGCAAATCTAGTTGCTCCTGGACGCACAATCTCCCTCCAACCTTGTCTTTTTCTAAGCCATGACAAAAAGACAGTATGATTGTACACAAAAATGGTAATCTTTGATGCCTTGGATGCAAGGTCTGACACATGAGGCAAACTTGCAATGTCCTTCAAGATGAGATTCAAGCAATGTGCAGCACACGATGACCAATAAATATGCCTATATTTCTCATGAATCAGTCGACTACATGCTACATAGTTGGCTGTATTATCAGTCACCACATGAATAATATTTTTAGGGCCAATCCACTCTATCACTTCACTAAACAAATGAAATAATGTCTTGGCCTCTTTGACTAGCTCTGAAGCATCAACAGACTTCACAAACACTATACCTTTCGTAGAATGAACTAAAAAGTTTGTCAATGTACGCTGCCTAACATTAGTCCAACCATCAGCCATTAATGTGCAACCATTACTTTCCCATCTGCGTCGATGAGCATCAACAATTAAATGACATTCTTGTTTCAAATCCCCTAACAAATTCACTCTCATATCATAAGCAATAGGGCCTTTGAATCCAGGTCCTATAGCAGCAATTGCATCTATAGCTTTTTGAAAGAATGGATAATTCAATGTATTGAAAGAAATGCAATTGATAAAAAACCACTCAGAAATAGCAATCTTTCCTTTGTGCTATGCTTCTTTAGTAGACAAAACACTTTTAATACCTGGTTGTGCCCCAGGAATTGTTCTTGGGGCAAAGTAATTGCCAGTTGCACCAGAAGCTTGTCTCTTTGCACCACTTGTAGAAGCCTTCCTTTTATCTTGATTCAAAGGAGCTGTATTTGAAGGAGGATTTGAACCAGCATCAACTACTTCTTGTAAGTCATCAATATCACCATAATTTTCCTCAATATCATCTAGCTTTCTTTTTTTTGAAACTTCCCTTAAAGATTGGATCATTCGATGGCATACATCATGAGGAACTTTTTTACAAGAAACAACTTGACCACTTACCCCAGCTAGATGCTGCTTCAATCTATTTATGCCACCCCCTCTGTATTCACTTGAACAATGCAAGCATGTATAAACAGCTGTATCCCCTTGTTTTCTTAAAGCTACATGTTCCTAGGCAGGATCAGTCTTCCCACGAGTAGAGCTAGCTGTTGATTGTTTCTCTGATGAACTACCAATACCAGTCCCTTCAGTAGCATTAACATTGTGAGTGGAGGGGGTATTTGACACAGGTATAGGAGTTGGTGTAGGAGTGTGCGTAGGTGTGGGAGTGTCATTATTTTCAAGTTCAAGGCCACTAGCATCCATCATCTTAAATCAAAACTTTAAATTCAAACAAACAGAAATTAAAATCACTAGATAAATAAAAATAATCAACCACAAAAATGAAAGCAGGGACTCTGTAAAGGCAACTCAGGATTTAAGTAACAAAAACGAATTCAGGATATGCAAGTAACAATTTCAGGCAATCACAAAAATAAAAGAATAAACATGCAATTTAGGATTTAAGTAACAATTTCAGACAAATTCAAGCAAGTTGGACCTGGAGAGCGTCGACTCACTGACTCAGAGATGAAGGTGAGTTGAACTTGGAAAGCGTGGATTCAGACTTGATAACCTGAGTACTTGACCTTGGGCGAAGAGATGAAGACGGATTGAAAGAGAAGTGGAGAACCTAGATCAGACTTCAGAAATGAAGAAATGAACAGCTCAGAGATACATTCGACGAGGGTGCCGAGCTCGGAGATACATTCGACTTCAAATGATCAGATTAGACTCGACCTTGGCGTTCAACGAGGGTGCCGAGCTTAGAGATACATTCGCCGTTCATGAAAATGAAGAAAATCTCTTATCTCAGTGATAAATGCTTGCTTGCGGTCGTGTGTCGAAGAGATGAAGAGGACGAAGGGAAGATGCCGAAGTCTGGAACTGCCCGAACTGGAATGGAAGGAAAAGTGGAAAACTGAAGTGAAAAATCAAAAATGAATAATGATTCATCTCGGTCGGGTAATCGAGCTAGGGCAACCGCACGTGGTCCTTGTTTTGGTCATCAAATAATTATAAAAAAAATTAAAAAAAGTCAAAACTATGTCGTTTTGAGCTGGAGGAGCAGAAAAAAAATTAATATAACATGAACCGGTCAACTCGTCTGAACCGTCACTTTTTTCAGTTTTTCCGGTTCTTTGACCGGTTCTCATACTGTTGACCGGTTCAATTCCCCCCCGGTTTACTTGCCCCAATCGAACTAGACTGGTGACCGGTTCACGGTTGAACCGGCCGGTTCGGTCCGGTTTTTTAAACCTTGGGAGTTGAATTTTGTTCCATTTAGAAATCCATTCAGAAATCAAAACCCCAATTTATCAAAATCAATTTTTAAAAATTTACTCAACCATCATCACATCCTGAAAATCATTTTTTTATAATCAAATCATTTTCAATTAAAATTCAAACGAGCATATATTCAACAAAGTTTGAAAAAAAATTAAAATTCAATAGAAGTACAGAGGATAGAGATAACAACGGCGGACGAACAAAGATCTAATCCAAGCCTTGCTCTTCGTCTAGCTTAAAAATAGTGAATATTATAGAAAAATTAATAATGCCGTAACTTATGAATATTATAATTGATCAGACTGTAGATGAATTACATTGATGATTTAGATTTCTTGATTTTTCCTGGCTAACGGTTAAAAAAAAACCATATAGGCGTTAAAATTATTCGATAACTTATTTATACTATAATTTATATAGATCTTCAATCCCAAAATTATTTGTACTGTTAAGAACAAGTGGCAGAGCGAGGGGGGCTGGCGGACTAATCCCCTTCCCAAATTTTCAATTTTTTATTTTTTTCAATACCAGACAAGGGTTGTCCCTTGTTGAAAAATATTAATTTTTATTTCAAAAAGGGAATTGAACTCCTTATCTATTTAGTATTTACTAGTTTACATTGTTACCTATCTAAACTGCTGTTAATATTTTATTATGTGATGCTTAATATATAAATTTTTTTTATAAAATTAAAAAATGAAAAGTATAGTATACTTTTTATCAGTGTTTTAAAATTTGGACACTTAGACTGGTCGAACCGTCAATCGGATAAAAAAATGATTAGGTTCAACTATTTAGCCTGTTTTGACAGTTAACCTAGGTTGGCCTGCTTTGATATGGGCAGTTCTTGAAGACCTGAAGTAAAAACCTGGAATGTAAAGTGGTCAAACCATTTTGACCCGCTTTTTAATATATATGTATACAAATATTCCCTTCATTTAAAAATATAAGACATTTTTAATCGAATCTCACCCCCAATAGAGTAATTATCTATTTTCAAACTAACCATATTTTTCATATTTATCCCTATAAATATCTCATAATAAATATAAAGTCATTATCAATAAGGATAATTTTAAAAAAAGGTAATGATTATATTTTGAACGACTAAAAATACCTTATATTTTTTAATATCTAACTTCTCAAAAAATACCTTATATTTTTAAATAAAGGGAGTATTATTTTTTATTTAATTATTATATTATTAATTTAATTACTGATCTAACTAATTAAATCATAAAATTCATGACCCATCATATTTGTAATTAAACAGTACCTCCAATTTTTGTACCATGTTATTAGAGCCTCCGGTCAGTTTCACAGTCTCGCCTATTTTATCCCGGGGGGGGGGAATCCTTTTTAATACGAATACTTTCAGGCTCGGGGGCCTTTACATTAGGGCTGTAGGGGCGCTATTGTCATTTAGAAAATGACGGCGTTCTCTATACAAGGGGATTTGCAATTAGGGTTACACATGTTGTGGCTGCTCCTGGTGCGTGGAGACATGGCGGCCACTTTCCTCCTGCCTTCGGGTACTTACTCCTCTTCCTCAACTGAAATAATTCAGATCTCGCCACCCTCTTTGTTTTAATACAGAAGATCGCACACAGTTCTTCTTGGGAACCTTGTTTTAGACGGATGATTCCCAGGATTTTATCTGTGCGTAAAGCGAAGATCCATTCTGCTTGAGCCTTCTTCTTCGTCTATGGAGATGTGCTCCAATGTTATTGGCTCACACTTGATTACGATACTGATTTGTTCCTGTATTACTCTTCATATTTTATTTTTTACGTTTAAGCATAGCACCCGCTGTACGGAGGTCCTTTTGGTTTTTTAGGTTTGCCGTTTTTGAAGAAAAAATATTTTGAAAATTGCCCCCTTTATTGATCCCGGTTGCATTTTTTTTTGTTTTACAATTTTTCAGTTGGACGGAAATAGCATCCGCTCCAGTACTTGATGGATCGGTTCATGTGGAATGCACGGGTTTTTTCATCTCACCAATGCAATCCATGAGTTGAGGCTGAGAATGGGCCCACAAGGAAACGTGGCTAAACTCAGTTGAGAGTTCAGACTTGAGAATCTGTGACAGTAAGCAATGAAGCAAAGGCTGGACGGAAACTAGTTCCCTGAATGCAATGAAAGTAGATGCAAGTGTGAATGCTTCTACGCAATGTGGGAGAGGGAATGCATCTTATGGGACATGCTCATTTCAGTTGAGCCTAAAATTAATTGGACCAGTGCAGACAGTTTAACGTTTCAGTGAATACACAATGTTTCTTCCATCTAATCAAAGTCACCCCTGATCTTGATCTTATTCTACTCAACCATGCTTTTAGCAGTTGTTTGTTACTCCCACAATCTACGCTCCCTGGCGGACTAGTTTTGACGTTGTCCTCGGACGCTTGCCGCTTTTGTCACCAATACATAATTGAGACAGAAATGTGTTGCATAAACAAAACTTTCCCTTTTCCCTCTTAACTAGCTTCTGATTTAAAGTCTTTCTCAAGGCATTTTCCAGTATTCGTAAGAATCTTTTATCATTTGAAGGGTAAGTATAAAATAAAAAATAATATTTTAACATAATTTATTTTTGTGTACTTGTAATATGTTACTTCTATTGAAATTTAATTTAAATAAAAATTTATTCTATTTTGAAATTTGTTTTGCACAAATATATTAAAGATATAAATAATAATTTGTTTTTATTTTAAATTGTTATTCTCATAATGGATTTAAGAAGGCAATAACTACATTTGTTGTTAAAATTTGTTGAAGAATAAATTTTTTGTTAAGTTCTATCTTATAATTAATTGAAGAAAAAAATTTACTCTCCAACAATATTATTAGATTTGTCACTATTTGCTTTGTCTAGATTTCTAAGCAACAATTCCTATTTTATAATATATTGCTCTGGAGCATACTAAAAATTATAAACATTTTTTCAATTTAGAAGATCATACAAAATAAAATTAGCTTATTTTCTTTAAGAATTTGTAGGTCAATGCATAGTGAGAAAAATAAAACATCATAATGAATCACACGCTATAATTTATGTCATAATAGTATTTACAAATCATAAGTATAGCCAAAAGTAAAAATAAATATTAATAATGATTTTAAAATAAGCAAGTAAAATAGCCAATATTATATTAGTATTTAGTAATCATACATATGCCTATAAGGATAAAAACTATTTTGTGAGTTTTTAGTTTTTATTATGTTTGTTTAAACTTTTAAAATAATTAAAATCCAAAAAATATATATTTTTGATTATTTTAAGATAACTTTTAAAAATAATCTAATGTAATAGATGAGAGGGGGTGTGTCTTAATACGCGAATGTATCATAAAATTTTAAAACAATATGATGATAAATCATTTTTATGAAATAAAAATTAAGGAAGATATAAAATTTAAAAATAGAAAATTAATAATTATTATTGTAACCAAATATAAAATAGTGTTTGTTTTTCATAAAATCTCTATAAGATAAATCTCTTTTTATAAAATTTTTAAACTACCTAAAATTATTTATCTTTTAATTTTAAACAAATAGGCCCTAAATTTGAATTATAGGTTTTCAAGTTGTGATATACTTGTATATATTAATAATAAATATGTTACCCCATGCATATTAAGAATATCCACTGTAATTTTTCTTATTCTCACATATACTATTTTATAATTTGTTACTCCTGTGTATCTGAAAAATATAATAAACAATTTGTTATTCTATGATGTGTTATTCTCACATAAATTTAAATTTAAATAACGATATATTCTACCTTATATGTTGTTGTTTTGAAATAAAATTATATTTTATAATTAAAATTTTCAGATTTATGTATTATTGTATATAAATTAAAATTTAAATAACTGGTTATATTTTATTTTTTTCTTGGTAAGTGTTAAACACATAAATAACATTTTTTTATATTAAAAAATTGGATTTAAATTTTCTAAAGTTGATATGCGTAAATTTCATTGAAGTTTTCTTTTTTTAAAAAAAATTTAAATTTTATTATTTTTTAGAAAAATATAAAATGCTTTCCTTTCTTCCTTTGAAAAGCAAACTTCGCATAAATTTACAGATATCAATTTCAAAAGATTTAAATCCTAAACAATTATATATACAAATTTGTTACCTATGTAAATTAAAAATATAAAAAATAATTTATTATTTCTATATATGTTATTCTCATGTAAATTAAAATTTTAAAAATAAAACATTCTATCTTATAATTTGTTATTTAACATTATATTTTCTTGTACAATTTATTATTTTATACCTATACAAAGTATAAGTAACAAATAATATATCTCATACCTACCGTTTTTACTATAAATATTATATGTGCTATTAAATTTTTTTAACACGGAGCCCGCATTTATTTTTTCTATTATGAGGCTCAAATGATATTTTAACAGCACAAAACATTTTGATATACAAAATATTTTTTTAATGTCATTATTACTTTTCATTCAACTGAAGACGATGTGCTTTGTGTGTGTGGATTATATATTGCTAAACTGAAAAAGGTCTACTTATCCAAAATATAATATAAATATATAGTGCTTTTACTTTTTCAATCTTGCCCCTTGTCCTTTTGTTCATTGCTTGCCGCATTTAATGTTAGGAAATCGGATGAATTTGCCTATTCAAGCTGGACCTGAACATGCCCAGTTCTTTTAAAAGCTCGAATAGTTAAATCTAATTTAAATATTTACATTTTATTTTTAAAATTATTTTTAATTAATTTTTTATTTTAAAATTAATTATTTTATTTTCAAATATTTTGATACTTAAATGATGAATAGAACTCAAATATATGATATTTTAATATAAAATGATCTAAAATTTAAAAAATTAATTAATATTTATTATATTTTGTAAAAATAAAAAAAATTATTCCGGTGTTCGGGTCAAACCTGAACCCAATCAGGCTTGGTCTGAATAGACCTGAATATAAACACATCATATTTTTTTTAAGTTTGGTCCTAATTTTTTTTTGATAAGTTTGGGTTAGTTCATCAAGCTCGACCTAAATAATCGGATCTAACCATATTATGTTTGATGGGAATTTGAACTCGAAGGAAATTTTAAAGAAATATGAATTTCAATCGCACCAAAGTTGTTTACAAGTTTTTAATTCCTATACAACACTTTATAGTTAAAACTAATTCTAGTGAATGACAATATTTAAAAAATATATACTCATATTTTTCCAAAGCGTAAGAATACCAACTAATCCTGTTGGCCAAAAGAACACAAACTGCTTTTTTTGGCCAAGAAGCAATCAACTTCCATTAAAACGACGCAAGTTCAAAGGAGATACATCAAGAAGCTAAGAAAACAGGAAAAACCAAAACCAGCAACAGTGAAAATAACAGCAAAGCCGGAAAAAAATGAAACAGCCAGAAGGGAGAAGCATCATCCAATCCCCCGGCGCATCGGCGATCACCCGCATGGGAGGACTCTGCACTTGTGCTACTTCTTAATAATCGTGAAGGAATTAATTTTACCTCATAATTCTGGGGGAAAACAATTAATATGTTGTGTGTGCAAGTAATAAAAAAGTTAAATTTTAAAGAATTATGAAATTCCAGGGAAAAATACTAAATATACACTGTAAAAATAGCCCGTGTTTATAATAAGCAAGTGATTTTCTTTAAAAAAGTATTAACTTATCAAATATATATTTATTAAATATCATATCTACTATATAGGAAAAATGATAATAAAATTTTACTAACATATATAAATGATAATTAAGTCCTTTAAAATATCATAATTCCTCTTATTTAAAATAAAAAAATAACAGATTCAAAGGAAAAATTATGATTTATTGTTCAATTTTTACAATTCAAAAAATAAAAACTATGATTTTTCAAATAAAAGTTGTAATTGTTATTTTCAAAACTTAAATTTCAATGATCAAAGAAATTTCATGTAAAAAATTGTGATTTCTTGTTCATTATGATTTACATGATAAAAGTTGTGATTGATTATTTTTACAATTTAGACTTCAATAATAATAAAAAAATTATGTGAATAGTTGTAATTTTTTGTTTAATTTTTGTAATTTATAAAATTAATGTCGTGATTGGAATTAGTTATTTTTAGAACTTATTTATCAAGCATGAAAAAAAATTATGTGAAAAAATGTGATTTCTTATTCAATTTTTATAATTTATAGAACAATAGTTGTTATTGCTTAACCAAAAGTTATAATTAAAAAAATGGAGCCAGGCCTATTATTTTTATTTTAAATAAAGATAATTTAGTCATTTAATCTAAAATCATTAATGTAAAAAAGGTACTCAAAAACTTTAAAAAAATTATGATATTTTAAAAGATCTAATTATTATTTATATATTTTAATAAAATTTTATTATCATCTTTTTTATTATATAAGTATTAGCAATGAATAAAATAGAGAAAAGTCATAAAAAAATAAAAAAAAAGTCATGATTTACTTGAAAGCGGCAAGCCAGCACAGCAAAATTTGTATTCATATTAGGTGTGAATGAACTACTAAAATTGCCGGATCAGCAGAGATTTACGCGGGCCCGGTTCTCATGATCCGACATTTTTCATGGAGGACTCTTGGGGGCCGGGGGGGGGGATACACTTAAAGTTAAAACCTATAATCTGAAATGTCTCTGCTGAGAGCCCTTATTAAAATATATTTTCATTTAGGTCCTCGGCTTCTGGAGACATTTTCAGATTATATTGAATTTTAAGCATAAATTTTTCTCTCATAAAAGCCTTTGGTCTAATTCTTCCTCTCTCTCTCTCTCTCTCTCTCTCTCTCTCTCTCTCTCTCTTGGGTGGGCGACCAGCTTGACAACTTATCATGCCAGGCATTATTGTCCCAAAAAACAAAATCATTCTGCCCCTAGAATAATGCGAATTTTTGGTGGCAGCATCGAAATTTTTGTCTTTTCAACAACGCCGACCAAATTTGAAATTCCCACGTTGTGATGCTTCTGCACCTGTAAAATAAAAGACTGTATTTAATTTATTTTACATATTTGCCAATATTACGATGGAGGTCCTTTTTTAAAATAAAACAAAATATTTCTAACACCAAAAGAACATGCTAATATTTTTCTGTTATGCGTTGCATTGTACAAAGGCGTTTGTGGCCATGCCCTCTTCATTCCCAAACAATTGATGTATAATTTTTTAAATAAATTTATCCTTCAATAAATATAAAATTTTTGCTGGAAACTATAATAAATAAGCTTGATTAAGAATATCATTATATCTTAGAAAAATAATATTATTTTGGATGGGAGAGGGTTTTGTTTTAGACTAATGGAAGGCATTGCATATTTGCATGCAGGTGAAATGTTTGTTTTTTTATTTTCGAAAAATAACAGCTAAGACCCATGAGCTTTACAGGATGTGTTTCATCTGAAAAATTTCTTATTTCCACAACATAGAAAAATTATTGATTATTACCAATTAGAATTAAAAAGAATAGTAGAGACTCTTGTTTCAAATACGTGGTTGAAAGTTTGATATTCATGACAATTTAATAGGAAGAGATTGACATATTACTCTCAATACCGAAAAAGAAATCATGAATTGTTGAATTTGATAGGTCAAATATAAAATTAATTTATATTATTAAAAATTAATTTAAACAATCCAAAATTATAGAAAAGGGTGGAGAGAAAAATAGAAAAAAGAAGTCAGTTTTGTCCTGATAAGGGCATTTTTGCAAATAACAATAAATCACCGCAATGCTCGCGTGGGTTCGTTTGGATTTCAGTTACGTATAATAGATTATAAAAATAATTGATTAAGTGGTATATTTTAATCATAATTAATTATGTTACAATGCAATCTGTTTGAATATTATTTTTTTAAAATTAATTTTAACAGAATTGAAAATGTTTGGATAATTTAATCAGAATTAATATTTAACTATATAAATTACTATATAATTTAATTTTTAAATACCAAATATTAATTTTTTGAATATACAAAGTTTAAATTTTATTAAGAAAAAAAGAAAAAGAAGAGAGTTTAATTTTATTTTTATTAAATTATGTGCTTTCTTTATAATTTTTTTCTTGGGCCTTTCTTTGTAATTTTTTCCAATACTTTTTGATAAACTTTCTGCGAAAGCTGATGGAGAGAGCTTCAGAAAAAATGCGCATTTACGGCCATAATCGATTTTTGCTTTTTTCTGGCTGTTTGGATAATTTGGCTCAAAAAATTGATTCTGGACTAAAAAATCGATTATCACACCTATCCAAACACACGCGTAGTCATTTAAATTAGGGGTGTTCACAGGACGGGATCGGGACACTCCTGTCCCGTGTCTCGTCCCGAAAAAACAATCAGGACTGAATTTTGATTCGGTATCTCGTCCCGTCCCGAAAGTCGTCCCATCTTGTTAAGAGTCAGGATGGGACCGGGACAAGATCGAGACGTCCCGCCGTCCTGATAAATAGAATAATATTAAAAAAAAATCTGAATAATAACGTTGATTAAAATTTTAAATCATATAATTTATTAAGTTTAAAATCAAAACAACACAAGTACATAAATAATAATAATTTAAAATTAATTATTGAATTATATTAATCACAACTAGACATTATAATAATAAATATAAATGATCTTTATGCTATAAGATTAGTAACAATATGCAAGTTAAATATAACATTAAATCATTGTTCTTCTACTTTAATGAAGATGTACTAAGCTAATTACTTTTCTAAAAATAAGCAAAAAATACGTTGTAAATAAAAGTTATTAAATAGATAAATATAAGAATAAATTATATTAATATAATTAATATATTATAAAGAAATATATCGTCATGTTTACTCCATGCCATTAAAATTATCAATATAAAAAAACTTTAGTTTTAAATAAGAATTGCAAGTATTAAAATTATAATTAATATAATTAATATAAATATAAATTATATTAATATAATTAATATATTTAAAATAAAAAATAATATATATAATATTCGAGACGGGACGGGATAGGACGTCCCGATAGTAATCCCGTGTCCCGTCCCGAACCTTTTTCTTATCCCGTCCTGTAAAATCCCGTCTCGATTATTTTTAAATTGAAATAAGACCCGTCTTAATATGATCGAAATGATATCTAAACAATCGGGTTCAGAATAAACACCCCTAATTCAAATCGCTGTTGGCTTGCATTATTTAAATATTTGAACGAGTGAAAAGCTGGCAAAGCCAATCGAAAACATCACTTTTCCAGTCAAGTTGGCAATGAAGGGTTGGATGTTGTATATAGAAGTCTAAACGGTGCTTCCATATCCCTTACTTCTGACTGCATTAAGTAAACCAGATCATTATGAACAGCATGGAAGGCATTGTGCATAAAACGGTGGAAGTGAACGGCATCAATATGCACGTGGCTGAGAAAGGAGATGGCCCGGTGGTGCTCTTCCTGCACGGCTTCCCCGAACTCTGGTACTCCTGGCGCCACCAGATCCTGTCTCTCAGCTCCCGTGGCTACCGTGCGGTGGCTCCAGATCTCCGCGGCTATGGCGACACCGATGCCCCGTCGTCGATCAGCAGCTACACGTGCTTCCAACTCGTGGGTGACATCGTGGCCCTCATGGACTCTCTGGGTGTGGATCAAGTGTTCCTCGTCGCTCATGACTGGGGAGCCATCCTGGGTTGGTACCTCTGCCTCTTCCGCCCTGAAAGAGTCAGAGCCTATGTGTGTCTCAGTGTCCCCTTCCGACCTTTTCTGGGCAGAAGCCCCAAAGTCAGAACCGTAGATGCCTTCCACGCCTTATTCGGCGATGACTACTACATCTGTAGATTCCAGGTTTTAATTTCCTTCCACCTTTTCCACTGCTGGATAATTGTAATTACTTGCTGGCCGTTGGTTTCCCGTGTTTTTTTTTTTTTCCTGTTTCAATGGAGATTGTGATTCTGTGATGTGGACAGGAACCGGGGAAGATGGAAGCAGAGCTGGCTCGAGCTGGGACTTCATATGTGATGAAGAATATTCTTACCACTCGACAGACGGGTCCCCCGATCTTGCCGAAAGGAGAGTACGGGACTGGCTTCAATCCCAATACTCCAGAGGACTTGCCCTCCTGGCTCACTAAAGAAGATCTCGCTTATTATGTTTCCAAATTCGACAAGACCGGCTTCACTGGTGGCTTGAACTACTACAGAAATCTCAACCTGTATGTTCTTTTTAACATTAATGCTTTGATTCGCGAGGATGTCAAAATTAGTGATGGCTAGCTCATGGATTGTTTGGGTGAAATTGCAGGGACTGGGAGCTGACCTCGCCGTGGAATGGAGTAGGAATCAGCGATAAAATTCCAGTAAGATTCATAACGGGCGATGTTGACCTGGTGTACACATCTGCTGGGATGAAAAAGTACATTCATGGTGGTGGATTCAAGAAAGATGTGCCTAGTTTGGAGGAGGTATTTGTGCAAAAGGGAGTGGCTCACTTTAACAATCAGGAAGCAGCAGAAGACACCAGCAATCTCATTTATGACTTCATTTCCAAGTTCTGATGCCTCTCTCCGTGCTCGATCCAATCATTTATTTGATTCCCTGCATTTTAATTTGCCTTGTGTGTTTATTGTAACAGGCTGTTTATCTTTGAACATCTTTCAACTCGTGGTTTTGCTTTTGTGTCCCCCAACATGCTACCTATCCATGGAGGCTGGCTGGAGCCATGCATTCTACTGTAGTATATCTCTGACTGTTTTCTGACCTGGAGTATACCTGTCTGTTTCAATGACTTATGCAACTAAGATATCGCGTATTAAGTGCCAGAACCCCCCCCCCCCCCCCGGAATCAAGATAGCAATGTGTAAACTAAGTCCGAAACGCATCATCGATCAACGAGTATCTAGTTAATGAGACGATTCCTCTGGGGATCTGGATTTGGTGAGAGAAGCAGAGTCCCCTCATCCCGTACGTGTTAAACAATGCACCATCTTGAACATTTGTTTAAAATAGGTGGTTATGACAGATTTTGCAAGCAGATAAAGTTGACACACTAAATCATGCACGCATTTTCTCTTACTCGTTGACTTTACCTTCCCGCCTTCTTCCCTCATTGCTTAGTTACAGAAATTAAAAAGAAGAAGAAGAAGAAGAAGAAACTTCGTCGGTTCCAATTATAATCTTTCTTCAAAACTATTACAATAACAATTACCCCAGGCCCAACAATAATCTTTCTTCAATATCAACTCAGCACACACGCAAAACAAATGCCCAAAACACAGATGCAGTGCGGTGGCGAAGAGAAGAAATCGAGAAAATGATGAAATTGACAGCAAGATCAGAATCCAGCGATGACCCAAAGCCCTAGATGATGGCATTTGCGCAAGTACCTAGCCTCCACAATTCCCAGAACTAAACCAGTATACTTGGCACAAGCATCGGAAGAAAACGTTTTAAGAAATTGTCATGCATCACAACCAAATATAGCTTATTTCCAAGCCTCCCCATTATGGGATCGTCACTGCGAAAACGCCCTGACTCCAACGTCACAGCAAAAGGTAAATATCATACTTCCTCGGAATCTCTCTCTCTCTATTTTTTTTAAAAGGCTATTTTCAGTTATTTTCATAAGAGACTTTACAAATTTTTAAAAATATTAAATCCTCATTTTCCTTAAATACTCCTGATTATTTAGAGAGAGAAAGATAAAACTGTAGTAATTTAATACTTCATTTGACTCTCTACATAAGTCAATTAAAACCATCATATTGGAATAAGATAAGTTAGTCAAATTGTTGACATTGTTTAAAAAATTTACTTTTATCAGGTGCATCATCTTTAAAAATATTCTTTTTCACGTATAATCTTTTACTACATGGACAAAATTTTTTTTTAAAAAAGAAGTAATTAATAATTCTTTTTAGAAGATTAGGACTAGAGGGAGTAAACTTTAGGGAGAATTACATTCAGGATCCTTGGAAAGAACAAAATTGTAGAAAGGGTCCAATACATTCTGAATCTTCTCTGAAAGCCAAAGGACTAAATTGATATTAATTTCTCACACTAAATGACAAAATTGCCCCTTATTTGAAAAACTAAAACCATCGAAATTATCTATCATGAAAAACCTGAAGTTCATTTCTCTCAATCTCATAACCTCATTAATGTTGTCAGAGCTTGTTTTTCACCAGATCGAAAGCCACTCTCTCTAGTATTGAGAGTCGAAGGTTGCTATCTTGTGAATTAATCGGTGAAAAGCGAAGGGAATTGATGTTATATCACTCATATGAGAGTCATTGGAACCATTTCGGCATTATTGTTGGCAAACACATTGAAGATTTACATTCGTGCAAGTGAGTGTAGCAAATTTATAAGAACTCATTATTTATGTGGTAGAAAAAATTTGAAAGAGCTTCACTATAGTAATTCAGCAAAAGTTTGTCTTGTATTATTCTTTTATTTTCACTATAGTTTGTAGCTGTGTAGTGTGAGTGTATAGGTTTTCGTAGCATTTGAAGAAAGAGCTTGATGAGTGAATCTAAAGTCTATGTTGTACAAAAGGCAAATGTTGAACTCTTGAATTTGAAGCTACCCTATCAATCAATCGAAATGGAGTTTGTGATGTAAAAATTAAAATGTGGTGTTGTAAAAACTTGGATTATAGTTGTAAATTCATAAACCAATAAAATTTTGGCATAAAATATGTTGGAAGTGAAAGTCACAAAAAGAAAAACTGAATTATATATTGTAGAAATGTGATCTTTGTCTTGTTGAGGAAGACAACAAGACAAACGGTTAAAAACATAAACATATTTAATAAAAAATAACTAATTTTAACTAGTTTTTTTTTTTTAAAAAAAGTTGTGTACAAATTGCTAAAGGTGTTCTATGAAGAGGGGAGGAAGGAGTAGAAATTGAAAAACTTGCCTCATAAATCCATTATTGTGAAAGAGGAACCCTAATTTTTTAATTAAATCAAAATACCAACCCATGCGCAGCTTTTAGCTTCACAACAGAAAAGGAGAAACGAGGGAGAGAGAGTGCCAGCGGTGGCGAAGAGCACCAATATGGCTATTCTACATCCAACGAGGGAGATGGCTACTTTTGAGATTCCAATAATATGGTATATGGACACTTAGATTTAACCTTCGATGGATGTTAGGAACTTGGGATTGGGTGTCCCCAAACAAGAGGCTTTGAATTTTTTTTTTAAGAGGGGAAAACAAAATTTGGTTGAGAATTATGAAGATCAACCTAAACTATCCTTACCATTCCCAACTAGAATTCTAATTTTTAGAATTTTATTCTTCTCTTAATCTAAAATCAAATTAATGATTGAATCAAGTTTCTAACATTTTTGATGTATCAAAGAGGCCACCTTTAAATTCTTCATCTCTTCTCTAACCTCCTCTCCTTTCAATCTCATTCCTTTCAAGATCAATATCCAAGCATTTAATCACAAGTTAGCTGTTTTATCATCACAAATCTTCAAAACTCTTTTTTTTTTTCAACAGATAACAACCCTCCAATATACTATGCCAGCAACATGAAGGTCTTCTCCCTCTCTTTTCTGTAAATAAATCACATTTAGGAAAGTATATACTTTTCAAGATTCTACTCCAAAATTCATCAGGATTTTAACTAATCTCCATACAGTTTTAGCAAGCATAACAATGTTGAAGGCTTTGAAATCTCTAAAACTCATACCACAATCAAGCTTAGATTTAGACAACAAACTCAACTTCCCTCAATGAATTTTTCCACTACCATCCTCACTATTGCCCCACCAAAATTTAGAGATTAACCTATCCAATTCTTTTCAAATTTTAATAGAAAAGGAAAAACAAGCCATTGAATAAATAGGTATAGCATTAACAATAACTTTTATCAAAACCTCCCTTTTTGAAAAAGCAAGAGAAGCTATTTTAGACCTAGCCCAAATGACAAGTAAACCAAGGTATTTTCCTTGTTGGTCAACACTAGAAATATGCCAAAGTAAAGATATTTCATCTCTCAACTCCTTGTTAGCATTAGCTGAGAAAACAAGCAAGATTTATCCAAATTAATTATTTGCCTAGTAGCAACACAATAAATTTCAATAATTTTTCTCAAAATCAAACAATTCTCCTTTTCTCCTTTTCAACCTTCATAAAAAAGAGTGATTAATCTACAAAAAAATAAATGAGATAATACTGAGCACCCCTTTACCAGCCTTAAACCTTTTAAATCTCCTTTTTTAACATGATAAATCATTATCTAAGACATGCAATGATGATAAAAAGAAATGGAGAAAGAAAATCTCCTTCACCTTTAAAAATATTTTATGTTTTATAAAAAGGCAATTGCACATAACCCTTCACCTTAAAAATTTAAATCAACTCCAATAATCTTTTATTTGTTTACCACAAACTTTCTTATTGTTAATTTTTTAATTATCTTACTACTAAAAGTTGCTATTTAATATTAAAAAGACATGTAGTAGCCTATGTAATATTTGATGTAAACCAATAGTAGCTTTATAAAAACTTTATTCATATTTTTCAGTTATTATTAACTTACATTGAATGCCACATATGTTATAATGTGTCTTTTTTTTAATATAAGATAAAAGATGACAATTTGTATTAATAAAATAACTAAAACAATAATAATAATAAAAGAATTCATGATAAAAAAAGATTTAAAAAAATTATGCATGTTAATTTTAATGAAGCTGTAATTTAAAATTATTTTATACTCCTTTCATTTAAAAATATAGAATATTTTTAATCGAATCTCACCCTCAAATAAAGTAATTACCTACTTTTAAACTAACCCTATTTTTTCATATTTATTCATATTAAATACTTTATAATAAATATAAAGTCACTATTAATAGGAACATTTTTTTAAAAAAAAAAGCAATGATTACACCCCAAAAAATTAAAAATGCCTTACATTTTTTTACGGAAGGAGTATATTTTAACCTATAAAAATAATAAAACAAACAAAAAAAACTAAAAAAATTAAAACTTCACATAATATATCTTCAAAAGATTAAAATCCTAAATTTATAATTTATTTAAACGTGTATAAAAATTTATCAATATATCTATATCCTAACAAAAAAAAAATCAATATCTATGAATATATTACATAAAATTTAAATCCTCAAACGGGAAATATGCTATAATTACTACGTTTTTATTTGATTTACATCGATCCGTGCAACATGAAGTTCTGCCCTAGTACACATGCACATCCACACCGGAACAAAAATTATCCAAAACATCATCAAGCGGGAGCAGTAACGATGATGACAATAGGAGCCTAAACATTCCCGCCTAGTTCTCTCTAGTTTGGGCTCCTATAATAAAAATATCACTTGTGTAATCATTGCTCGTTCAGTGAAAAACTAGCAAGCCTAACATTCTCAAAGAGTTATCTACTTTCTGACTATCATTTATCATAAATCGTCCAGATTAAAATCTGAGCAAGTTCAGAATAATTTGATAGCGAGGCAAATTCGAGATGTTGCTCGCTTGTCGCATTTGAAGGCTACAGAATTTCGGTTGACCTTCGCTCAGCCTTTTATAATCAAGCAATCTAAAATTTAACTCATCACCAAGGCATATAAAAAATTCCACCAAAACTACTAGAAAGAAAACTTAATTTGAAAATACACTTAAAATGACACTGATCGAACAAGAAATCTAAGAAACAAGAGCATTAAAGTTCATACATTACCATAACTGAATCAATAACATCAAATTTGTCTTCAGCTCGTATGATATTGCAAAATTTTGAATTTTTGAAGTCAGATCACCTTATCCTTATCCAAAATAAACAACTAGGATAAACTCAAACCCTAAATCCTTTGCTGTTCCTCCTTCCTCTCGCCCTCTCGAACTTCCTTCCCTTAGATCGCACATAAGGCTTGCTGTGGCTATGGGGCACACCAGGAGCAGGACCAAAATGCTTCACCGCTTCACGAGCATTCTTTGGGCCCCTAAGAAGGACCTGCTTCCAAGATTTTCAGGTCAAATTTACCGTCCAAAAACTGACAAAATCTTTAATTTTCCACACTTCTCTAATCATTAAACTACAATACCATCACACAAACATCTAGAGTGCTATTGCAATGGGGGAGAGGAGAAAAAGTAGCTAGGAAAAAGAGGGTTGAATGTTCTGAAACAAGTAGGGTAATGAAAAATTAAAATACAAATCCAGGCTTTTGTGCAAATCCAATCAATACTATTCCCTTAGTCAATAAAATTGTTAATTATTAGGAGATGGTAATTAATATATCCACTCAATCAGCACTTCCAACAAAATCTAAGATTTCTATAAAACACAAAGGACGCCACAAAATAAGCAAAATAAGCGCTATTGTGAGTCCCATGTGACAGCCTACAGAGATCTAACAACATAAGCATAGAAAAGAAAAATTAATAAATACATGTTCACTATTTAGATAAAAACACCATGAATGGGATATTAGATAAAGCAAACAATTCAGAAAATGGTGATATGGCTACATACCGTGTTCTGTCCCAGAGGAGCCCTAAGAGCAAGCTGATCAAATGTCAGGCATTCACCACCAGACTTTTCTATCCTAGCTCGTGCTGTCTCCGTGAACCTGAGTGCTGTAACTTTCAATGGGGGTACCTCATATACCCTTGTATCATCAGTCACAGTACCCACAATCACAGCGATCTTACCTTCCTATACAAAAAAAATTTCAGCACAGAATTAATGGAAATTACAATTAACTAAATTACAAAAGTTAACAAGATAGAGATATCTAACCTTTCCCTTCATAAATTTTATCAACCTTGACAGAGAAAGAGGAGGCTTGTTAACCTTGCTCATGACCAGGCGCTTCAGTATCACATCATTGAAATTGCTACCAGTTCTCCGGACTAGGAAGCGATAAAGCTGATCAAGAAACATTAATCAGAGTAAATCGATGTACGTAATAAATAAGAAACAAGTAACCTCACATTAACATGTAAGTAGATATATATACAATACATGAAATATGACGGGCAGATATCAAACTAAGAAAGAGTTCCCTCAGCATAAACTACAAGTCAAAATCATGATATCAGCATCATGATATCAGCATTAGCATGGTTTAACAGGCATCATAGGGAACCTTCCTCTTTGACAAGTATAAGATTGCCATTAAAACAAGAATTGAAAATATAAAATAAATAAATAAAATAACATCATAGAGATAATTAGATAAAACTATATAATGCTCAGTAATTAATATTGACAGGATATTCCATAACTTGGTTAAGAAAAAAGCTTATGAAAATGAACTAGTGAATTTCAGTTCTTGGTGAAAATATCTATAAATCAGTGGAATAGTTATTAAAAACCCAAAACTCTTCTAGTGCATTATATACCAAACGAAATGTTAGAGAAAAATAATTATTGTTATTTTTTCTACAGTAGTGATAAAAATGAAATAAAATGCTAGTTATTCCAGGCTCAGACAAATGTGGATAAATCTATTCCCAGACCTTCGCATGACGAAGGCCTCATAATGAGCTGGGATCACATTTATCATCATCGTGAAAAATACACCCATCAGATCAACACCGTATACTCTAACGACTTCCCACTTAATTAACAGGAACAGATTTATCAGACACAACTAATGGCTGGTTAATTTCTCCGAAAATTAAGAACATAACATACATAAATTCCACAGTAAAAGAAGGGATCGAATAGAGACCTTGACCAAGAGCTTGAGGTAGATATCATCGGACTTGGGAGCAGTTCTTTTGGTCTTCTTGCTCTTACCGCCAGCCTTAAGATCGATACCCTGTATAACAAATATAAAAGAAAGAAAAACATCGGCACTGAGGGGAAAAGGCCAAAGAAAGAAGAACGCACGAAGACACGTAGATGAGTGAGAGAATGAACCATTGTAGCTAGGGTGATGACAAGCTCCCTCTGTGCTCAGCTTGAACGACGCGACGACTGATGAAATATAAATCGGGAAGAGGAACGATGAAGTAGGGTTTTGTTGAGGTGCCGCCGGGCTTCGCCTGTCTTGTGTGGATCTGGGCTGGCCCATCTTTTTCATTAATCCGGGTCAGTTAGAGTGAGCCCACACCTATGCGTCCGGAAGCAACTTAGCGGCATTCGTATGTATGGTATGATATAAAGAATAATGAGAACGAGAATATTGTTTATTTTCCCATGATTTAAAGGCGATAATTTAGGTGAGCCAAATTTATTTAAATTAAACTTAAAATATTTTATCTTTTTAAAAAACTCATATAATCAAGTCTGACTCTAATTTTTTTTAGCTGGGTTCTGACTAATCCATCGAGTTTAGTTCAAATTATCAGCTCTAGGTTGATTGAATTAATTGCAACCCCGGATCCTAAATATGAAATTTCAGAAAAAAAAACATGTTTAAAATTATTCTAATTGAATTTTTTAATACTTATCTTTCATATTTTTAATAGTCATCCTTGACATTTTTAATACTCAATTTTTTTATTTTTTTTCATTAGTCACTTGAGATATATTAAATACTCCTTTTTCATGATTTCAATGCTGAAAAGTATTAAAAATAAATGTTTTTCAATATCATTAAAAAGAATTAAATGGAAGATGATTATTTAAAACACATAAGATGATTATGGGAAAATTGAAAATAGGAGTATCAATTACCAAATTACGAAGGCTGAGCAACAGGTAGGATGGATTAGCCTGAAAGGCTACCTAAAGCTTGTTCATGTCAGATAAAATGGGTACCAACTAGCTCGTACCTGTAGATAACCCTTTTAACCCATTTTTAAATGGGTTGGACTAATTTAAGTGGATTTTGGCTAGCCCGTTTTTTCTTGCAATATTTGCTAAATGAATTTTATAAAATTAGGAAGAAGAGGAGAAAATCAACAAAACCTAACCAACAAATTTACATGTTTAGAAAAAAAAATCTCATAAATTTATAGATCTAGCCAAAGAAGCAAGGCATTAAAAGAAAGAGAGATAGGTGTGGAGAGATAGAGAGTGGAAAATTAAAGGTGGTGATGGCAACAACTTTGTAGATCTACCAATATGGAGTGGAAAGACGCTCGTAAAGGAGAGGGAGATGCATGGGTGATGATGAAGTTTGGGGTTAGCTAAGGGTTGAGGCTTCTTCCTAACTTCTTCATAACTTTAACCTCTAATAGCAACCTATGTGGCTTGATTCTTGAGCTTGAGCACAGCACATGCATTAATGTTATGTGTCTTTTTATTTTTGTTTCATGTAAATTTTTTAAAATAATTATATATGAGTTGGGACGGGAAGTCTAAGAGATAACTTGTAGCTCGTCTCATCCATATATAATTGTTAACGAGCTAGGTCGTATGTACGGCTCGCCTATTTTTTCCTTTAATAAGTGAGTTTTTATTCCACCCAATTTGACTGAGTTTGGGCAAGCATATTAGGTTGCAGGTTGCTTACTTAGCTCTCTAAAATACTAAAGATGAGTGTTGGGAATATTAACTAATAAAAATTTTAATTTCAATTAAAGATTACAATACTTTTTTAAAAAAATTGAAATTTTAGGATCCTTAATTGAAAAAATATTTTTAGAGGGTTCTTAAATGTCATTATCCCTTGAATGTAACCAAAATAAAAATGAAGAGAAATGCTATAAAATGACCAAGTTGTCCCCTTGCAAAAAAAAAACCCTTAATCGATTAAAGGAAATCAAGTAGGATTAAGCATCATATAGAGAGGCATTTATTAAGAGATAATAATGGGTGATGATTGTGAATATCTGGCTGGCTTTGTTTACAATGTTAGATTGACAAGTATCACTAAAAGGACTCAACGTGTGTAACATAATCTGAGATAGACATTTATTCAATATATCCCCCTCTAGGCTAGAAATCATTATGATAATCTTTTGTTAATTACCTTGTGTTAGATGTCATTTTATATTTTTTACAATTGACGTGACATAATTCTATTTTTTAAGTATTCAACTATTCAAAATTTCTAGTAGGGCTCCCCGAAAGACTAATAGGATAAGGCTTTGGCCTAATCCAAAATCTAGTCTCTTTCATAGAAAAGACTAGGTTAGGCAACTTGTAATTTGATCCAGTTTCAACTTAACCTGAAATTGAATAAAACTATACTTGGTTCATAAGAGTCAAGAACTAGTCTCAGTAGTCCAATACCTTACTTTGTTTTTTTTCTTGTACAAGAGGCAATAATTTATTTCAACTTAATAAATTTAATTAAGATAACAAACATACTTACAATCATATAAAAATTTATCACAACATTAAAAGCTAATCATAATAAATTCATAACAATTTTCAATAAAAAAACATCAAACACGGAGTGAAGACGAGTACATAGAGTGAATAGTCTTCAAAGTTCGGGCTAGGGATGATTCATTAAACACTAAAGAACAAAAAACTGAAAATGTGGAGAAAACATTGGGTTGAGGCTCAAGCTTTAAAGTTAAAACTATATTAAAAAAAAGGAAAATTAATCACCCAATACTTATAGTTTCACCTGATTTTTAATTAAATACTTGTAGTTCTTTTCATTAAAAGTGTTGGTCCTTCCCTTCCTAAAAATAATGTAAGTTATGTATGAAAAATTATGTAAAGAGATTTATTGGAAAAAAAATAGTATGGTGACATAAGCGATTAAGACTTCTCATATTTGTTCCTAAGAAAAACTTTCTCATACATGTAATGTATATTAAGGGTTAAATGTTAATTTGAATCCTGAGTTAAATATTCCAGGCGACTTAAACCTTAAACTCATTATTCATACTTTTTTAAACCTTAAATCAATTACATTCGAGGCAATCTAGTCCCACTATTGATGTTTATGAGCTCTAAGATACTTGAGTGTAAGAAGCTTACTTTTAATATGTATGAGCTACAAAATACTTCCAATAGTTAAATTCCTCAAGCCCTAATAAAGCTCTTCAAATGCTCTCCCGAATCGCTCCCTTTCCTCTCATTTTGGCAAGTTGTAGACAAACTTATTTCTATAGAAAAGTGTCCATGTGTCATAGCAGATGCACAATGCACCACAGCGCACGGTATAAAGAGCATCTCCCCAAGCGTGTTATCACACATACACCATGGTGGATTGATCCACAAGCCACGATGCGTGGCACAGAACCTTGTCCTTTAATTTTTCTTCCTCTCTCCATTCCTGGGTGACCAGACTTCCTTCAGATCCACATTTAGGGCTAGAAATAAAATCAAACATGCCCATTAGACCTTTCTAGCCATATACCTTATGAAATATTCTCACTCCACTAAACCTTATTAACTAATAAAACTTATAGTAATCAAAAGATAAACTCAAAGGGTGATTATTAAAATTTAATTAAAAAGCAAGAGATCTTAAGATTTTTAAATAATAATGAGTTTAGATCAATTAAAATTTTTTATATCAGAGTTAAAATAAATTTTGAAAGCATCAGATACCTTAGAAGAGTGAAAGAAGTCGAAAATGGTTGAAAAACAAAACATGTGTTGTGGTACAAGGCAATGCGTTGCTGCACTGCATCGTGTTGCTCTCTGCGCCATGCACCCTGGCTCAGGCGCCATGCCTGGAGGTGTGTTGCATGAAAAAATAGCAGATTCTGCTGTCATTTGACAGCACAATCAGGGAACTTTCGACAGGCCCCAATTTTCTGTCTGACATCTAAATGACGTGATTTAGGGGTCTACGAAAAGTTCTTTAAATGAACTAGCTAATGGTATGGGTTTTATTTTTAAAACAAGTCACACTAGGAAGTTAGACATCCAAACTCATTTTAACTACTTTTCATTGCTTTAACACAAAATGAGTGTCTAAAACCCTCAACATGTGCCGAAAGCTTTTCCTAACACCTAGACCATGTCAATAGACCTAGGACTATCTATGCAATATGTCACAAGTATTAAAATAATAGTATAATAAAAATTCACTCCTCAACCCCATTCAAGCAAAAACAGAGAAGGAGGTAAATTGCTATTACTTTATACCCAAAACAATCAAAACATACTCAAATGTCTATTTCTATACTTGCACTAGTATTTTGGCCCTATTAACAAATATATATCAATATACACAAAGACTCAAGGTCTAAAATACAAATCTAACATTCCCGACAATAAAATAGT